TTTCTCTTATTTTGTCTTTGCTTGCACTTTTTTTACTTTACATTTTGTGAAACACAAAGAAAAACATCTAAAATGTAAGCGAATTTGGAAGTTATTGACTTGTTGTTACTTTCCGCGCTCAGGCTGACGTAAGTAACCGGAAGTGAAAATTCACCTCCTTAGCAACGCGCGCGAGCGCGCGAATGAATCGGTTAATGGGCCCTTAAAATGAATTTAAAATTATGAAAATTGGCAGTTTTTAACATAATTTCTAGTAAAAGTAATCATTTATGTTTGATACACAACATAATGAAGAACATGTGAAGTGGTGTGGCGCAAGGAACGCGGGCTCACAAAAGGTTGGGAAAAAATCGAATTACAATTCGAAGGAGGACTGAGAACCAGTATCCCGAGAAAAAGAAAGCAAAATGGCGGCAAAGTTGGATTCTGAGAATATTCTGCTGATCACCGACTCTTACAAAGTAAGAAAACCTTGTTTGCCCCAAAATTTAGTGATTTGCTTGATTTTCTATCTTTTAGATCACACTTTGTCGTGTCTTGCGCTGGTTTGGAGGATCTTGAGACTTCCGGTTCCACCGCATTGAACTCTGACAGGGAGAGGTTCGTTTGCAGGCTGTTACCAAATCTGTTATTTTCGTTGCAAACAGGTATCACATCACAAGCAGTATCCCTCAGGTACTACCATAGTGTTCTCTTACTTTGAAAGCAGAGGAGGAAAGTTTCCAGAAGTGTGCTTCTTCGGTTTACAATACTTGATAAAGGTGTGTGGTAGGAAGTACATGTAAGCACTTTCACTTTCACTTTTGAGCTAGTGGGCGCTGTTTACATACAGTACGTTCCCTTCATGTGGATTTTTATGTGCATGCAAATTGTTGACGTTATATGTGATTTGGCATACAGTATTTGAATGAATTTCGTGATTTTCTGGGGCTACTACCATTTTCGAGCTATCGTGAACGACCAACTTTTCCACGTTGTTCCACGCTTTAAACATTTAAACTTGTCTAGACAAACTGTCGCGTTTTTTAATTGGACCAATTAACGTTTAGAACGTGAACATGTCAAGTTTTGACAGCTCTGCCAGAATGTTGCCTTTCAAATCATGGGGTGAGCCTTAGTTTAATGTTTATTTTGTTGTTTTTTTTAATATTCAATTCAATTCAATTCATTTATTTGCCCAAAATCATCTACAGTTCATTTTTACATTTGTACATTTTTACTTGACTAAAATCATGTTGCTTTGAGCTGGAAGTCTACCAGTTGAATCTCAGAAGCCGAGGAGACTGATGTATATAGAGGTCTGTAGTCCTGTGCAATGAACTGGCAACTTAGAACGATCCACTCTTTAATTGATAAATTCAAGCGTCAAACTCTTGTCTCCGTTTTCCAGTAAGCTCCTAGCATTTGCAGGAAATGTGCCAAGTATAAAGTGGATCATTAACAATATCATTTTGTTTTTGTTTTATTTTTTTAATAGAAATGGCTTGTGGGGCAAGTTGTCACAGCTGAAAAAATAAAACAGGCAAAGGAGTTCTACCAACTTCACTTTGGTTACCATCTGTTCAATGAAGAAGGTCAGTACAACATTATAAAAACTCAAAAAACAAATTGTTCTGCATTTTGATTACAGTTCTCACGTGACAATAGTTACAAAATGACGTGCTTGATAATTTGAAGGAGTGCTTGGTCATGTGCCCCCATCTCATAAAATTGTCATCATCTGATTTGTTTTTTTTCAAAGGTTGGCAATACATTTTAGAAAAGCATCAAGGTAAATTACCCCTCAGGATCAGAGCTGTACCTGAAGGCTCAGTGGTTCCTGTTAAAAATGGTAAGAATTATTCCATACTATAGAAAAGCTCTAATTTCTAGCATCATGATATGGTCTCCTTAATTATGTCAATATGAAGATTTTTCCAGAAACTTCCCATATCTCCGCTTGCGAAAGGACCTTTGGTTAATCTGGTCAAAGTACATACTGTGACAAGAAAGTGCTTACTTTTGTTTTAGTTATAATAGTGAGACAATGTCGGGAAAATTCAATTTGAAATTGTAGACTTCCTGTAGAGTTACAGCTTCTCCTTTGGAATGGAACGTGAGACATTGGCTGTTCACAAAACCTGGAGTTTGGATCAAATCAGATTAACAAAAACTTTATTCTCACAATGCCCATTAAACCCATTAACTTTTGTACTTTCTCAGTTGAATCTACACATCATTGAATTTAGAACTTTTTATTATTTAATAATGAGATTTTTGAACCTTTTTTTAAAATATATCATGTATTCAAATTTACTCCCGTTTTGGCTTACCATTAGCATTTTAGTGCTTCTCAACTGGGTATCAAAGGATCTGTGATGTCACCTTTATGTACATTAAGCAACACATGAATGCGTGCAAACAAGTATTTAAGAAACAGTCCTTTCCCTCAACAACATTTTTTAAGACCTGTAGAAAAAGACGGTAAGATGCAATCACTCAATAATATGCCTGCTTTTTTCATGTAAACAACAGACAAATGCACATTCCTGAGAGACAAGATCTACATCATGTGCTTGCTGTTGTCTAAGTATATACCAGTAGTGGGTTACTTACTGTGCTTTTTTTGTGTGTGTTTGTGTGTTATTCAGTGTTATTCACAGTTCAAAATACAGATCCCCATTGTCCCTGGCTAACTAACTGGGTTGAGGTGAGAAGGTCACAGTTTTCTCTAGACTTAATAACACAAGTATAATCCATCATACCAGAAAATAGATCCTAGGTAACTGAAGTTCAAATATATTCTGTCGCAGTTGAAATGTGTGTTTTAACCAAGTGCAATGACTGTACTGGGAGAATATCTGCCAGTCTTGACAGTACAGACCAACTGCAGCAAGGTTGGTACTACAAGGA